ATTTCTTTACTTTATTAAATATCTATTTTCTATTAATGTATTTTATATAAATATTTTGCATCTTTACTTTAATAAAAAAAGAGAATTAACTAATTATCTTCAAAATAATAAATATCGATAAAGACGATCTGACCCTTCAATTAATTAAACTCGTGTTTATTTTTTTCATAGTTTAGATGTAATTAAACTTCCTATTAGCAAATAATCATTGTTAACTTAACGACGTACTGTTTAAGATTAACACCATTAAATTAAAGAATTTTCAGTCACCATTAGACTATGAAATCACCACCATACTATATAGGAAATGATTGAAACAATGCTATAAATGCAAAGAAGTTGCCCATAAGTAAGTTATGAAGTCATTATCAGATTATGTATAGTAGGTTATGAAGTTACTAGCAGATAGTGATACCTGACGAAATTACCTTTCTTAATATAATGAAATTGACGAAACCGAAATAACAAAACTAGTTTTTTATTAATGACAAAATTATTTTACTTAATTGCCGAAATTATATTTAACTTAATCTAAATTCCTTGAATTAAAATACATTAAAAAATATAATAATTTTATATTTATTTATATAAAATATTACAGAGACGAAATTTTTGATGAAATTACAATTTTTCAAAAAATAGTTTAGTCAGGTATCACTACTGGCAGATTATGAAGTTATCTAACCCAAGTTGCATAACTAATTTACACATATATTGATTATAGATACCTGTAGCCACCTTCTTACATTTCTAGTAATTTAGATGAAAATGATAGTTGTATTAATCACAAATTTTAGGCTTATTTGAAAGCCCTTATTTCATTCTATTATATACTAGTTCTGTGATAAAAATGGATCAATAATTTACTAGATATTTCAGGCTAATCTTCAATCTTACTTCAACCTATTATATAATCAAATTAATACTTAGTTTCAGATATTCTTCTAAGTTGATAATATTGGCATCGAGCTATTAATATTAGAGGTTCATATACTTTTAGCTAAAATTTTACTTCTGCAAAAATAATTTTATATTCAATCTTCTTACAAGCATCTCGTATTTTTTCAACAGTTTGATAATTACTTAAGAACATTAAAGAAATCACATCTTCAGACTGATAATACAACTTGTGAAATATAAAATTCTGATATTTAAATTGTTTTCCTTTTGGTTTTCTAAAAAGTTTGAGATTTATATTCTTTTTCTATGTATTATTTATGTTATGACAATTATAAAGATTCTGAATCAATAAATTCTTTAGAATAAATGGTATTAATTCTAGCATTAGCTGATCAAGTAAATTAGCTATATGCATTTTATATGATTAGAAGATTTTTCAATCAATAAGAAAAAATAAATTGTTAATAAATGCTTGTCTTAGAAATTTACCTGAATTACTTAAAGTATCTTTGACTTTTTCTAGAAAAGATCTCTATAGAAGTTGAATTATAGCAAATCAACAGTAGAATACTATATCTATGGACCCTTTAGCTAGTCAGGTAATTTCTAACTTATCAGAAATTGTACAAAATTTACCAGAGCAATTTAAGCACACTTTTATGAAACCAGCACAACAAATGGTACCTTTATCTCTCATTTGTTATTCAGATAAAAAAAGTGAATTTATAAATATCTTTGGCATTTGTGATAAAATCCTTTTTTATCTATTTGATGATAATAATAATATAATAAATACTGCAGTGTAAGCAAATTATAGAATAAATCCCTTATATATCTACATGAAAGAGATAATTATTTTAGTCAGCTTGCACAATTTGAGTAGTTTTTAAAGGTTAATTATATTATTAGAGGATGCTTCTTTTAACAAATGAAAAAAACTCTTATAGATTATATAGAGAAATATCTCCCTCAAAATTTAAAACATGATTGTGAACTTAATAGATATGGGAGCTTGTCAATAAAAAGGGGGAAATCTAAAGAAAAGTTTTTATGAGTTAAAGTTAAATCTGGACTTATTTTACTAAAAAAATCATATTTAGCATATGAAGTAAAATTTTAATTTTTTTTAGATTTCCTTCTTTTCTATTGACAAAATCCCATATTATCAAGATATATTATCCCAATATATTATTCAAGATGATTTGATTTTTTAGACTTGTAGAAACTTTAGCTTTGTTCTACAGAAATAATGACAAAATTATATAACTTGTTCTTCTTATTTAAATATAACTTTTCTTTTCTTTATAAATTTATTGTGCTGCTTAAAAAAGAAATACTAGTATCAATGATTAGTCTCACATATATAATATCTTCTGATCACAATTATTTCACATAACGAATAGTTAGTAGCTAAGTTATGAATAAGCTAAATTTACACGATGCAAATGATGCAATAATTTAACTACAATGACTTTAAAAAAATGTAGTAATATAAAATTTTAAACTTCTTACCAAAATCTTTGTTTATTATAAGCACTTTAATTTTTTACAAAAAATAATTAATTGGTTCTAAAGATCTCCATTTCCTCAATAGTAAAGTTATTTGTATCTAAAATGGTACTTTCATAATAGCATTGATTGCATGATCCAGCATTATTATTGATAACCAAATCACTATTGCCAAAATTTAATGCAAAATTCTGATAACGCGATTCATACATCGCATTACCACTGCTTTGAACTCGACTAATCTTAAAATTTTTCAAATCTCCTCCGTCACCT